GGGTCATGCCACACCAGTTTGTCAATGGTAACAAAACCCAGTCTTGGCCGGCTTTATTTACTAATACGTGATGTAGCCTGAAGGCCTTTAACGTTACATTATACATAGAAAATTTAGGCTGATCTCCAAGCTTGCAGAAAGACATTTAGATGCCTAACTTCCAAAAAGAGTTCAGAGAAAGTAGTACCAAAACATGATTCTGTAAGCCTTGTCATGCCGTGTCCCCATAGAAGAGTTGTGACAGAGATTGAAGTTCAGGATGACTAAAACACTTTCTCAGATTGCAACTGGTAACCTTAGTTCTCTCTGGGAAAGCAACACCAATACCATCAACAGAGTGCATCTTTGGATATATAATTCTATACACTTGAACTTGATATACTGAAAGATTAGATTTTTAGAGGGGGGGGAAACCTCAGTGTTTTCTAAAATCCAGCCTCTTTCATAGCACATAAGGATAGGATATAAAGATGAACAACTCTTCACGTCACTGAGAGGTCATTACTTACTGTTAGTGGTTCTCCCTGGAGGGCTTGTAGGATAAAATTACTGACAACTCTACCATCATTCATATGCATTCGAGGCCCAAAAGTATTGAATATTCTGGCAACCCTCACTTCAACTCCTTCCTGCAGGCAAAGAAAAAAGAATTGTTACTACCTTAATAAGAGTGTCTTTCTTCCTAGAAGTGCAAATTAACTCTCCCCTGTCCAAAAGCTTTTTTAAGAATCCCTCTTACAGCTTTAACAAGCATTGTTTTCTCACCATGAAAACACTTCTAATCTCTCATCAACGCTACTGGAAACTGTAGTGCATACAGCAAGGTAACGTATACTAGTTCTCAGTATTTGCAACGCAAATTCTAAATCACTGCTAAAATAGCTGATGATTTCAGCACATGCATTTTCTTCCAACAAGAACCTTAAGATATTTTGATAGTACCCTTCCAACAACAACTTATTTCACCTGGGACTCATCTACATTTTTTGCACGTAAGTGAAGTCTCACAACCACCAGATATAGTACCAAGGTAGCATTTCCAAAGATGAGAAAAGTTGAACACTTCAGGTAAGTACCACCAATGCTATAAAGTAAGTGGCTTTGTAACCAGAGCCACAATGTTTCTTAGCTCCCTGCTACTTATTAGGCTGTGTAAATGCATGCATCACAATCCAGGCCTCCTCAGTGGCTTAGTTTTTTCAAGAAACATTTCTGTCATTCTCAGAAGTCCTTTCTGGAGGATATTTTGCAAATCTTCAAAGCAAAATGCAACAAATAGGTGAAACTGGAAACTGCCTGGACAAAACATTTTAACACTGGTCATGAAGTTCCTGAAGTAATCTCTCTCTAGGTATTTTCTGTTTATTGACACTTACTCATTTGGACAAGCCACAGGTCATGATAAAGCCTATAAGAAGGATTTTGGCCTTTGTGAGCTGAAGCATGCACTTGGCTCCTGATGAGTTCAGAGCAGTGTGGTATGCTGTAAACACAATAGATCCTACCATGTGAGAGTGATAGCCACAAAGCATGGAGGAAGGTGTCAACTTCAGCCCAGGCCTATCCATCCTCCTCACACTCCCTAGTCCTCCCCCCTTCCAGAAAAAGCCATCCTTGTATCAGTCACAGGAAACACTTTCCATGTGAAGCAAACTTTGTGCTGCAGATTCAACTGAAGCAACCGAAGTCACAAGCACAATGTTCTGGAGTTGCAAACATTCAGTTATTCCTTCAGAGGATACGCAGAACATCATGTATTTTCAATGCCTTTTACTTAGGCTTAGACCAATGCTTGCCATTTTCTTGGAAGAGAAGTGTGTGGAAGAAGTGTGTTGTTGGTACATCTGTGGCTGAAGGCTGCAGCTCACACACTTCACTCAGGAGAGACCTGGAAACACATTTTTCTTGGAAATAAATGTAGCTTCATGTACAAGAGAAACTTGCAGGAAAACCTGATCTTCTCTCTTGGGTCTCCAAGTGATTCATAAACAAATGAATCCTCAAAGAAGTTTTGTGAAAGCAATAGCACTAGCTTTTTACAGATGAGACAGTGAGAGAGGCAGAAGGCACATTTAACACTAGCTGTTACTTGGTGTTGAGTAATGGGAAACACAAAGTAGTATAGGTAAAGCCCAACACTCCCTAGTCTGGAGAAAGCCAAACAACATCCAGTTCTGTTTAACTGCAACTAAGGCTTCAGTTGCCATGATCAAACATTGTTTATATTTGCAACTAAACTGTTAAGCTAACAGTAACCACGGAGGTAACTATTGTGCCATAGGAAAAGCTATAGTCTTGAGTCTTTGTCACACAACGAGCTTGCATCCACAACAGAACCAAAAAAATAACCTCACAACATCCACTTGGCCCGGCTGAGACACCCTGGAAAGAGCAGAAGTCCCTTCCCATGCAATATGCATCAGTTGGGAACATACTCTTTATTTCCTGTTAGTTAAAAAAGCACGGCAGTGTAACACGTCAAACATACTTCCAGCAGCATATTACAGAGCCATTCCCAATGCCTTCACTGTGTCTGGAAATATATACTCTGATAGAATTTCTCGTTCTTTTGATTTGCCCAGCATTCTATCTTAAAAAGGACACTGACTCCTTCAGGGAGAGACTGCATTTCACATGGGCTTTCCAGATACTGCCATTAATAACAAGTACAGAAAACAAGGCACTTGGAAGCTAGTACTCAAGATAAAAATAACTCATTAAACAATGCTGACCAAAAAGCTTCTCTTGTACTGTACAAACTACAGCAGCAGCCTTGTTTTCCAGTACTGGCTGGAAACTAGCAAGGAATCTAGAGAAGAAAAACAACACGTTCTCTATAGGCACTTACTCATAGCCACAGTGAATCCAGTGTTTCTTCTCCCTTCTATTTATTTCCCTCCCCCCACTGTAATGTTGTCTTTTAAAATGAGTAACTTTTTATTTATAGTGTCATCTAGCAAAGGTTTTATCTGCAGCCTACTGCTTTAAAAAAATCTATTTTCTATGCAGCTGAATTTTCATTTGTGCCTGTAAAACTGGGATCTATCTTCTCAGAAGAAACTCTTCCACAGACAAAGGAGCCAGTAACTTGAAAAATCACCATTTCACAAACATCTCCTTTGAAGTGATCCCTTTTGCATGTAGAGTAACTCTACTCCTTTTTGTATTAACTGCCTACGAATACTTATGGTACACTCTTACCTATGTCCTGTTACTCTGAATATCAACAACAACATGTTAATTATGACTGACTACCTCCACTGTATTCCCACAAGCAAAGCCAATTACTTCCCCAGATTTGTGGCAGTAAGTCATGTACAATATTTTATTATATCCTAGAGAAAGGAGAAAAATTTCTTTGGCCCACATTTATACTGCTAAACAAAAGAGAGCTTGAGACTAATCTCTGATGCTGAGATCAAATGTGATCAACTGGCTTCTGTCCTCACCGTTTAAGACTGTGCCTTCCTACAGCAGATTAATCAGAGAGGAAGTTCCTTGAGCAATCCAAAAAAGAGCCTGGGAGCAAGCTAATAAAATGCAGCATTGTGGGCTATCAAAACATTTCAGCTCACTCTATTATTTACTAGTATGTACATGTTCACAGAGACCGTGCCTTTACAGACGGAGAGGGAAGACAGAAAAGATGCAAGAAAGATTTTTATGGCTTACAGAGATACCTCCTCTGAATAAATACTCAGGCTGTTCTATAGCTGTCAGTCAAAAAGTAGCTTTAGTTACCCAGTCTCCCCTGCAAAACAAACTTGTCCATGGTCTTCAGCACGAGTCTTTGCCACTCAGTTCTAGAGATCCCAGCTCCAGAAAGTATCAAGGTATCAAGGATGCTATGATAACATCCTAATTTAAAAAGACATTTTAATTTTATAAGCCTTTTAAGAAAAGATATCTCCTTATGTTGACTGTCTCAGAAAACAGATCAATACAGAATACAACTCAAATGTCAAGAGGTTCTTTTAACTGAAACAGATTGAACATATGCTGTGGCTGTAATTCATAAGGATATCAGGCAAGCTTCTCTTAGTAATTAACAGTGCTTCCTTCTTTGTAAAGTCTGTGGATCTATCTGAACAGCGAGCATGAATTAGACCTCCCTGCACACAAAATCAGGAAAGGGAAAGCTGCAATTGTCTGCTCTCCAGCAGACAACTGGATTCAAAAAATCTCTTGGGGAAAGCCCAGACAGTTGCATGGATAGCACTGTGACCTGATACAAGTCTTTATCAATGTTTCAGCTAAAATTACTTAAGATTGTTGCTTGCATCCCTTGCTTTATTAGTCACTTTCTCACTGATTCATATTCTTTCCCATGTGTTTCAGAGATCATTAACTAACTCTCAAAATTGTTCCCAAAACCCTGAATTGTAATCATAGCAGAATTACTAGCACAGTGCTCACCAGGATCCATCTGTGACGTGTTTAAGCTACCACACAGCCTCAGCTACACTGAAGCTTGGTCCACAGTATTTTTTTTATATATGTACTGCCTATTGTATAAGCAAAATGAGATTATTTCCTGGTTACTAAAAGCTTTTTAAAACTGTTTTGCAAAAATATTGATGCGGAGATCTGAATTTCATGAACAGTAAAGCTCCTAAACAAGCTAGGAAGAACAATCACAATCATCTGACTCAACTTTCGGCATAATGCAGGTCCCTGAACACAACCCAGGCACACCTCCAGTACTCTTATCTTACGGTTGAAATATCACCATACTTACAGTTCAATGCTTCCCAGACCAGAGAAGCTACAACTTCTCTTCGAGGTCTCTTCATACCATTATTTATACCTCCCTGCTAAAAGTATGTCCTGATTCTAGCACTTGCCTCAGCTTGCATACCTCTTGTACATACTGTACATGGCCAACTGCAAGCAGCCACAGGCCTGTTCCACCGACACTTTGACAGGAGACATTGCCATTGGGAAGGGATGTGCACCCACTTAAGTGCATCTATGCCTGAATTACTAGGATATCCCCTTCAGACAGGGATTTTAACTCAGTATTTTACTGCACAACATGGCTTCTGAACATGAGGCGGCAGATAACAACCAGTGCAATGATACCCAGTGAAGGAGAACTGTATCACAGCTGCCAGTAAGGTTCCAGTAAGGGTCAGGAATACGTGCAAACAAACAATAATATATACGCCAAACAATTTAATTTTAGTCATCTGCATAATGGAGAGTTCTGCAGAGTTATACTCATTAATTAGTCTAACAATGACAGTTACAGGTGAAAGAAAATGCCTTACCACTGCTTTTAGAGCAATGGTGGCTGTATGAGGAGGATGCATCTTACAAACAAAAGTAAGAGGTGTACCGAATTGAAAAGAACATCAGAAACAACACATACTTTGCATCAAGAGATGAATGCTGCTATGGGTATATTCTTATTCGGACACCAGATAAACTTAGTGAACTGAATCAACCTCCAAAAAAAGTTTAAAGTCTTCCTGACTTCAAAATTCAATTTGCACGATCAAGCAATATCAAGAACAAAGAACTAAGTTCTCCAATTACCTGAGGGAAATCAGAAGACAGGATTTCTTACAGCAAGGAAAGAAAAAAAAAGACAAACTAGAGCACAGAGACTATGGAAAGCATTGACTTTTTTTGGAAACTGCCTGTATTTGTTTAGTCCATGGCTTTGATAATCATTGCAATACAGTATTCTAACCTTGCCTACGGTACAAAGTTATTTTGCAATTGTTAACAGCACAGAGCATGTAGAAACAGTAGAGATACTAGAGCATTAGCAAAACCATTGTGTCTGAATATGGGCCAGAAGACCTGACAGTTTTTTCCTGCTTTATTTTCATGCAATTTGGGGAAAGTGTTGCTCCGCTGACAGAAAAAAAGCCTATTATATCCACGCTATGTTTGTGTTAGGAAGTTCTGACAACTCAGATAAAACAATACAATTTATAAACAGATACTTAAATAATGAAACTCTCCACTTACAGAGGGACTCCTACTACTAATGACCCAGTGAAACAACAGGTTGCATTTTTATAATACTGCCTCAGATACTGCAGCATTCTCCTCCTCCCCTTTTCACCTCACTTCCTCCAACTGAATGTTAACAACAGATAGCTTTGGAAAACTATATTCCACTTCTACAGTTGTACAGGACCAAACACAATGTTTTGGTTCATGTGCAGAGCTTCTACACAGCAAAAAAATTATTACAGACAGCTCTAACAGCTCATTAGAAAACATGCAGATCCATTAATCTGATAGTACAGAGAATATGTACCAGAAGGTTTTACAAAATGGCAGGGCTATCAGAAGGGCTGTACAATGGTAACTGGAACAAGCCAGTTTGAAAAGCTTAGCATTATTTAATCTCTATATTATTACAGTTTGCAGGACTTCTGGGAAAGGATTTTTATCTGTGGTTTCTCTTTTCCAAAGTATAAACGCCTACTTGTGAACCAACAGTTGAAAGCAGCGCTTGTTTCCTCTTTCAAAGCGGAGCCAGTTAATCAAGAAGATAAAAGCGACTAACAACAAACTACTTGAAATTTTCAATGGAACTGCCACATTTATGAGAATATTAATTTAACTGTGAGTGTGTGACCTCTCAGACTTTGCAAAGGAAAGGAATTGTTGACAATTTTTTCTTTTCTTTCTGAATTTCACTGACTTTGTATATAACAACTCACGTGGGACACTAGGTGCAGTGCTGACACCTGCACTTCAGTGGTGTCAGTGCCCTCTCAGTCAGCAGTGAGAAAGGCTGTAGCATCTCAACTCTTCTTACCTAAATTACAGGCACTGCCCAAGGGAGTTGACTGCCTGCAGCACCTTACAGACTCCCCTCTCCAACCTTGGCATCACTACTATTCCTGGATGTGAAACTCCTCTGCTTGGCTTCTAAAAAGGTAAAGGAATCCATGATATCTTTTACCCCTACAATTTAGCTTTGGCCTGGTATACCTCCAACAGCAACCACCATCTGTGTCATTAAAGGACTGTTCTCTGGGCTTTTGACTATGGCCCCGAGGAGATGCAATGCTTCCTTTTCTCCCCCTATGCTGTCAGAACTACAAACAATTCAATTCCATTCTTCCACAAAAAGCAACAATTCTGCATTAAGATCATGCAGATCATCTTAACATCAATCATGTTAAGCAAACTGCTAACAAATTTAATGTGACAACAACAAAAAAGAATGCTGCATGCTTAAAAATAATCTATATTGAATATCAAGGAAACAACAAGTGATAACTAGAGAATACAGGATAAACTCCCAAAAGACATTAAAGCAAACCGCCTTAACTCAACATAGCTATTTGTTTTCTATCTAATTACTCAATAAATACCTGGTTGTTCACTATTCAATGCCTTTTCAGTTGCAATTCAACAGTTTTCATTACCCCTACATTTCACATCAAGGCTTTTTATGATTACTGAAACCAACTCAATTTGTGAATTAAAGATCAGGGGGAAAGTACAACTCAATATAAAACAGAAAATCACCCTAGTGTTGCAATTGCAATGCACTTCTATATTTAACAAATTTCAACGTCAGTTTGCATGTGTTATTCTCTCACATTAATATAATAAACTTCACCTCTAGCATGTCTTCCCTTTCTTCTGTAACCTATTCAGATATTTTGGCACCTTGAATCTTCACTGTCCTGGTTATAGAATATTCTATAAGGCAGAGCATAACACTTGTCCACTTAGAGAAGGTTATACTTAATATTTAGTTATGATAACTCAAGTCACACACCTGTATATGAAGTTTATGCAAAAGCATAAAGCACTGGAAGGACTAGGAAGGATAGGCAGAATTGCAACAAAAATGGGAATTCTGAAGAAGTCTGAATCAGAGGATGCAACTTAGTTCCCAGATGAACAGGGCAAGGAACTAAAGCTCCCTGTGGCTTAAGAAAAGCTCCAGAAGCAGGTACTTCCACTCACACTAAGGAGCATAGCTGACCTCCGCTCCCACACAAATTGAAGGAGGGAGAGCTGCTCCTGGAAGCCTATAGCAGATATCTTCTCAAACCGCACGCTCAGGTGCCTCACATGGGATGAGATGAACCCATGTACGTGCTTTGAATTTGTGAGCCCTGCATTTCTCCAGCAAATATTGAACTCCCCACCTCTCTTTTCAAGCAGATGCTTGTATTACTGAATGCTACTACCACCCTTGGACTCTTTGATAAGGAAGTACTGCTGGGCTTGTTTAAAGACAGCAGTTGTAAACCGGAGATAAAGTCAAGAAATGCTTAATTCATAGGGTCAAAATAAGTGAACAAAACAACACTGCCAGCAGAAAAGAGCGCACCAAAAAGGCCTTGGTCAAGACAGGCTACTGAGAAACTCTGACGACTGTGAATAAAGAGTCATAATCTTTGACTAGGTTCAAGAACTGTTCTGATTCAAACAGCCTGTCTGGAAGTATAATGAAGAAGTTAAGTTTTGTATTTTTTGGAAACAACATTAGATACACAAGGTAGCTAACTATGTGCATGATGATGGAAAACTCTGGAGGAAATTACCAAAAAAAGCAGAAATAAGTTTGCTTGTTTCTTCTTTTTACTAAAGCTGAGAAGATTCTGGAAACATTTTAGCCTGAAATCCTGTAAATCCAATTGTTTTGGGCTAGGTCACTCCTGTCTGAAAACCCCCTTAAAAGCACAATACTTATTTTCATAGCAGTAGCCAGATTTTTCCATTAGCAAAAGATAGTATTTCCTCCACTAATAATAGTGGAGGAAGTATCACTTAAATTCTGAGGAAAAAAAAGCTCAACAGCATTTCAGAATATACCTGAATGTGGGACAAGCTAGGGCAGACCTCACTGACCCATAATAAAGTATAAGAAATATCTGACAGAGATGCCCCTAGGACAGAAAGCCCACTTCCATCATGCATTTTCACTTAATGTATGTGTGTATCGCAGTTCCACCTTACAAACCTCTGCTATCCTTTGCAAATCCTGCATAAAATTTATGGGATAGTATCATGACTCATCCTTTGGCTTAAAGATACAGCCCATGATTTTCAAAATTACCTACAGACTTGCCCTTCTGAAAGAATAGTGCAGTGTGTACCACAAACTTGCAAAAAATTCAATATCCTACAGCACAAGAATTTCTCATAAAAACTACAATATTCAACTGCGAATGGATTTCCAGACCCACAGGGAATATTTTTCCACAGTGAAGTATAGAAGACATCATCCTGAACAAAAGCAGTACCCCCATATTATACCTTAAATGATTTAAAAGAGAACAAAAGAGACACGAACCTCTGCCTTCTCTGTCTGGCAGAAGAGATAAGAGAAAATTACTACAACCTCTGGACTAAAATACCATCCCCTAAAGTCTTACCACTTAAGTTTAATTCTGTTTTCAAGGTTTTTAAAAGCCCTTAGTATTTTATCATTTAAAGGTTTTAAATTCTACAGAATATACTACATTTGATTGATTTACACCTTTGTATATTAAGGCTGCAAACACCAAGAAACAATGATACGATTTTCTTTAGTGTGCCACATTTTCTAATAGAATAGTCTCCCAGAGACTAGCTGAACAGCAATTAAATAAGATTCAAATACAGGTAAAGAGTCGATGCTGGGTTAGTTAATGATGAATTTCTACTTGTTGATTATAAAACCCACAGAAACTGGCACGTATCATTTCACAAACATATTTTAAATTGCATTTTTATCCTCATGTTACTGTATTTGTCTGAAAAAGTGCATTACGTAACTGAATATTCATCTCTTTCGTTCAGGGCCGTATTTATACCTACGTAATTTTAAGACATTTCTAAAGTGATTTAAAATACATTGCTCCTATATGAGTACTCATTAAAGAACTTCCTCATTTTTACCTGTATGTTCTGATTTCAATTATGCTCATTAAACATTCCACATTTATCAGTAATGGCCCTATTCAGCAAAGCACTTCTCAGCACAGGACCAACTTAAAACAACTCTGTTATCTGGCTCCCAAATTAGTAAGGTCATCTCAGTTTAATCTGTCTAAAAACTATTTATGATACTGAAAGACATAATATGTCTATCAAGAAGACTAAAGCACATTTTCTTGAAGAACACTGCTCATCTGAAAAAACACAACAGATGGGAGCAATAACACTTTTGCATTGAAGAAAACAGATTTTGCAGCTACAGTATGAACGCTCCTACTCAAAACATTCTCTTTTGCCCTCCTACCCCTAAATACACATATTCCAGTTTTGCCACACATTTGGCCTTCATAATTATAGAAAATCCATTGAATCTGATACAAGTTTAATACCTGCTTCATATATGCATAGCACATGGTCTCTGCAACCCGCTTTCCTTCATCATAGCAGGCTCTTGGACCTATTGGATTCACGTGGCCCCAGTAATCCTCATTTTGAGGGTGAACTTCAGGATCTATGGGGAAAAAAAAACCACCTTAAATGATCTTCTGTCAAAAAGGTGACTATATATAATGAATCTTTCAGCAGATCACTAGTGTTATACAGTTTAATAGCTTCTCTCTGAACTATGCATTTAAAAGATACTAAGTTTCAACACCATTCCTTAAAAGTGTATTCACTAGAACCATGAAAATGACAGTTACGGAAGATGTGAGACTCTAGTAAGATAACTGAGTACAAGCACACAACAGCCATCATCTGCTTTCCCCTAAAAGAGTGTGCGAACAGAGGGTTAATCCAACTCTCCTCTGCAAAGACAGACTACCTCAAGGGAACAAATAAGGCTCTTATCTAATGTGATTCAGAGGAAATATTATAGGTTATATAGGCAGCACTTTTTACTGCGTTGGAAAAAAAGAAAGCAAAGCATCTTCAAGTTTTATAAAATAAGAAATAAGGAAAGAAAAATGGGCAAAATGGAGAAGTACTGCATTTCTTAAAGAAGAAAGAGTACAGCGATGTACCACAATGTACTTGCTATGCTGCTTCTGTTTTATCCTAAGCATTTTTACTAGCTATCACTGGGCACAATCAGGTTAGACAATCCTTTGGTTTGATCCAGTACAGAAGCTGTAGATTACAAAATAAACCAACCAACCAAAAATCTTCTAGGAAGCTCTGTGTGTGTGCATGTGTTCACTCTATATGCTTGAAGCAATACAATCACTTTGTTACCTTTCTCCACTTCGCTATCTGTGCTGTCTTATCCTCCTTCCTGGGTTTGAAGTTTGCATACATCACTACTAAACTTTCAAGTGTTACAGTTTAATTTTTGAAACAACCTTGATGGTCAGTTCTGATTAACCCTCCCAGTTTTTATGCTGCTCGCTGACATGATTACAGATGAATTCCTGCCATATGAAAGCCACAGAGCAGTGACAAATGCAGGGAGGTTGTACACAATTACAAAAGCCCGTAGCATTCTTAAAAGGGCCCCAGAAGGTGCTGTGATCTGGAAGGCCACTTCAGTTTCTGTCTCCTTTCTGGCAGAGGCAGCCTTACAAAGCACTTGGAAGCTCTCTATAACAACACTGCTTTAAGAACTCCTGTGGAAACAGCTAACAGATATTTTCTGACTTTATTTTCTGTCCTTTATTTTTCAGCAAAATGACTTTGTCTGTTTAGTCAGAGTATGATATGAATAGACTCTCTCCACTGGCTTTACTGACACGACAAAGCCTGATATTGGGAGTTTCAAGTTTTCCACTTCAGGAGGAGGATTGTAGCAGAGCAATGAGGCTCCAAAACTTGGTGGTTTTTTTGCCTGTTGGTCCCCTGTTCCAGAAGGGAGTTTGTTCAATTACAGAAGAGTCCTTGGGGCTACCATTTTTCTCTGTGGAGCCTGACCGTGGACAATCAAAGGCAAGGGAGGCAGTGGTGCACCCCAAGTGCAAGGGGTGCAACGCTTATTTGGTTGCCCGGTCATCTTAGTGGAGCTCTTGCTTGGGTATTTGCTTTGAATCTTCTTGACTGAAGTTATTGCACCAAAAGAGTACTCCTTGAGGTATGTTTTTTGTCCTTCCTCACTTTTTCCTCACAAAGCTTTGCATCTTGTTACAGAGATGAGTATTTTTTGTTTGCTTGCTTGTTTTTTAAAGCCTAGACTCTCACAACTACTAATGTTGAGCAGGTGACTGTGCCTGCATATCTCCATTAACCTTGCAACACTGCTATTACCAATGAGGCAAGAGTTCACAACAGCAGGAAGTTTCTCTAGTAGGCACACGGTCTGTCACACACCCCAAGGAAGTACTAAAGATTCTCATTGCATCCAGCTAACAGTTCTATCAGTCATTCTCTCTCTACTTCACTCCTTAGTAACAGCAAAAGGAAGAAGGAGAGAGATGGCACCATTGCTCAATATTACGTTTTAAGAGACACCGCAATGGCATGCATGCACAGTCACTGTTTTCTTAGCCTGGAGATTATGTCCTTGTCTCTTGCACTGTGCTGCACACACTAGGGCAATTGCTAAATTGTAACAATGCAACTGGGGAAAACAGAAGCAGATTTGCTACTGAAATTATCTTTCTTCACAGGCTTTCATTATGGCATCTGGATTTTAATCACAGTTCAACACTCAAAATTCCCCCACAAGCCCTTTTGAAAAAGAGCCATAAACTAAGACATAGGAAAGTTACAAAGTTTGAGCGTCCTTCCACCACTCTGACTAGAGATTTAAAGCAAGTACTAATGCCGACATTTTAAGCTGTGAGAAGTACATCTAATAAAGAAATCAAGCTAACACAGTAATGAAAATCTATCAATCATTCAACAAGAGGTTTGTAAATACCCTTTTACACAGTCACATCTCAAGAGCTCTAAACACTCTTTTATCCTTCTTACCTCCATATACCTCTGATGTAGAGGCCAGCAGCAGCCGTGCTCCAACACGTTTGGCTAACCCTAAATTTTGGGCAGGGAAAGAACATAATTAGATCAAGTTTGAGAATCTTTCAGTCACATTAATTGCTTTAGTGCAAACCCACTTCACATGTTTTTAAAGAGAATTAGATTTCTCTCGCTAGATAAATCTAGCTATAAATCACATCCATAGCTCCCACTCCCAAGGTAGAACACTTGAGAAACGGCAGAGCAGCACCCACATGTGTGATGTGGTTGCTTCTGGGACTAAAAGTTACACTGAACCAAGATCCAAGAACTTAATATATTACACCCTAAATAAAGGCCAAGTAATCATAAACCATTCCAGTTATGAAATCAGGATCTTGAAACAACACACCATATTATGATTATCAAAACGTAAAGATAAGCTACATAAAGAAACTGACACAGAATAACATGTTATAGGACCAAATCAATCATTTTCCCCTTATTATGCCCCTTTAAACGGCCTAGATGATCATACCCATCACTTGAGATTATTCTGCACTCCATTTCAATGACTTTCTGGCCTTCAAGTTGGCATGGCCAATCAAATAAATCTATCATCTATGCTGTACTTCGATAGCTTCTAAATGACTTCTCTGAACTGTACTCACTAGAGCATCACTCAAATGAGAAACTCAGCTGACCTAATGCCCAGCAGCTTTTTTGCCTCCTCATAATTCTTAGGATCACTGACACCCAGTTCACGCTGCAGCATATGCCAAATGGATCAAAGATGGGAGGAAAAAGTAGTGAAGGTTTGAGGCCTTCTTTTCACAGGCCCATTCCCAGCATCAAAACCAAGACAAAGATGAAAATGTTGCCTTCTAATTATCTAGCATGAAGCTAGACATTAAAAGTTCTTGCAAAATTTGCTAGCCAAGGCATGCAACAAGAGGGTGCAATGCTCTTGATGTTCAGGGTTTACAGAGCCAATGCAGTTCCACCTAGTTCAACGTTTGCTGTGGTGGAAAGGAACAGTCACTCATGGCAAACATGGGAATGTTCCACAGTCATCAAGGTGCAAAGTGCAGTCATGGACACAATTTCGCTGTAAAAATCCCTGCTCTTAATTGTTCCTATGGCTTCTATAATTACTGCACAATTATTACTCCATAGTCAAGTTACAGGAATGAAGTTCTTGTGCTTTGATAGCTGAGCTTGCATGTTGTCAGAGTTCATCTGCAGATATATTTAAAGGAAAAGTACAAAAATCTTCAGAGGGGAAAAGAAACAACCTTATTTTTCTTAAAGAATCAACTTTTAAAAATGTTCAACTCATCTGCTCCATCCTGCTCTCCCTCCAGTAACTCTGTCCAGATTATATTATGTCTAACAAAGTTAAGTAAGAAAGAAGATTTCCACTTACCCAGCATGTTTAATGTCCCAATAGTGTTGGTCTTCAATGTTTTTATAGGATTATACATGTAATTTGGAGGAGAAGCAGGAGATGCTAGATGATAGATCTGGTCCACTACAGAAAACCAGAGGGGGGTGGAAAGAAAGCATTATTATTTTCTCATGTAACATATTAAATGAGAAAACATTAGGGTCAAGAAACAAGTACTTCTTTGTGCATTTCCTAACGTTGGAACTCAGCGTTTCCTATATTGCTACCTACAGATAATATATATGTATGCAAACTTGTTGTAACCCAAAGCAAGACTTACTTTTTAGTAAAACAAAAACTAAAGTGTAGTATATATCAACATTATTGACACAGATACAGAAGTCTGTCTGGGCATTGACATTTTTCACTTCTAAAAATTTTAGTTATGAGTACTTCAGAGATGTTTAGAAGCTGCAAAAGTATATGCAACATTCTATTACCCTCTAGTTTTTAAATGACTATCAGCTTCAGAATATTTTTCTCAAATGGAATCCCAAGCAAAGACGGCAGAAATATTTTTTAATACCAGGAGGAACATTGTCGGAAAAATAATTATAATAATTTTATTTGTAAGCCACTTGTCAATGAAATATTAACGGGATTAGTATCTTATTTATATTTTAAATATATATGCCAAGATATGGGCATACAACTTTGGTCCTTTTTCCCCTATCCAGTATCCCCTATCCTATTCTAACAGCAGTGGACCCTTTGCTCCACTGGTGTTCTATGTTGTACTTTGGATAATACAGCATTTTAGCTTTATAAAAAAAACCCAAAACCAAAACCTCCCCAATACAGAGATTCCAGCCTCCCCAGTTATGAAATATAATTAGCCAACACACTAGACCATACCTTGCAATCAATGAAGGTATACTGAAGCCTAACCTAATTTAAAATAAGGTAGCTTGGGTAGTGCCAACAGATCGCTCAGATAGTGCAAGTCCCAATCTTAACTAATTAAATTTGCTGCATTTCTGTGATTGCAGTGTAAGCAAACCTAAAGATTCAAATCACCCACAGGAAATACATATTCCACACAACAGCAAAATAGAGCCTAGTACAAAAAAACTAAATAGTTACACCACTGTCATGAGTACAGACTGGGGCCCATGTGAACCTCATGAAGTTCAACAAGGCCAAGTGCAAGGTCCTGCACCTGGGTCGGGGCAATCTCAAACATGGACACAGGCTGATGGATACAGGCTGGACGATGAGTGGATTGAGAGCAGCCCTGCCAAGAAGGACTTGGGGGTACTGGTGGGTGACAAGCTGGACATGAGCCAGCAATGTGCGCTTGCAGCCCAGAAGGCCAATCGTATCCTGGGCTGCATCAAAAGAAGCGTGGCCAGCAGGTCCAGGGAGGGGATTCTGCCCCTCTACTCTGCTCTGGTGAGACCCCACCCTGGAGTACTGCATCCAGCTCTGGGGCCCCCAGCATAAGAAAGACACGGACCTGTTGGAGCGGGTCCAGAGGAGGGCCAGAAAGACGATCAGAGGGCTGGATCACCTCTCCTATGAGGACAGCCTGAGAGAGCTGAGGTTCTTTAGCCTAGAGAAGAGAAGGCTCTGTGGAGACTTTATTGCAGCCTTTCAGAACTTAAAGGGGGCCTATGGGAAATATGGGGAGGGACTCTTTATCAAGGAGTGCAGTGAAAGGACGAGGGGTAATGATTTTAAACTGAAAGAGGGTAGTTTTAGATTAGATATTAGGCAGAAATTCTTTACTGTGAGGGTGGTGAGACACTGGAACAGGTTGCCCAGGGAAGTTGTGGATGCCCCCTCCCTGGAAGTGTTCAAGGCCAGGTTGGGCGAGGCTCTGAGCAACCTGATTTAGTGGAAGGTGTCTCTGCCCATGGCAGGGGGGTTGGAACTACACAGTCTTTTAACAAACCATTCTATGATTCTGTGATTCTTAATTTAACAATTATTCCTAGCACAAGAGAACAGAGAGAGAAAAGAGAATAAAGGCTGTAAGAGATTTTAAGTTCAAAGGCCAAACGTATCATCAGTCAGGACTTCCTTCTCTCTCCAACTTCTACTTTGGTTTATTTCTATCTTAAGCTAAGTGAATTGTGCTTTGCTGTCTATTCATCCACTAGTCAGGCTTACTTGTTTATTTTCAGCTATTTACCCATTTTCATAAAATGGTCTATTTCCAGAACAAGCATGGGCAGTCATTTCTATCATGGTAGTTCAGAAGACACATATAGGTATCATAAATGGTATTTGATACAAGGAAAACAAGCACACAGGACTTCACTCAACTTTGGTTTTGTAACAGGCCATCAGGAAAGTTGCTACCTCTGTACTTCAGAACTTCAAAAAGCTCAGCTCAACCTGGCAAATTTAAAGAACTGAAAAAACCTCAATAAGCTGTGCAGTACACCAGAATCAGTCTTAAATAAGAAACTTAGAAGAATCCCAAGATACTAGTTGATTAACATTCTTAATAATGAAAATCTTAGGCAAATCCTAATTTGAGACCAGCTTCAGCATATCAGGGTTGCAAAATGCGTTCCATGAGATAAGAATGTGAAAGTTGGAGGTGCTACAGGGAAAAAAAGATTTTTTTTTTGTTAAATTATAATAAAAACAAACCAATAAAAACTGGACTCATTTTCACAAGCAGTATTTGATATTCAACAAAGCTCAACCTGCAAGCCTTTCATAACACAACTATTTTGAATATAAAAACGTCTTTCTGTCTTCTATGTAACATGAATCACAGTTAGACAGACCTACTTAAAAAGAAGAACATGGATAAGCGAATGCCAAAAAAAATTAAACATAAGATCAAATGAGAGATAATGATGCTTAAGAAAGGAAAAGAACAAATCACCTACCAAGGTCGTCCAAGAAAAGTAGTCAAAAGGTGACGTAAGAATTAGAATGGCAGGATGGAAGAAGGGAAAGTAATTCCTTCTTTGTGTTACGAAAGGAAAGTCTGTTTTTTTAAGAAGACTCAGCACTGAAACCTGAAAGAACCTGGAAAAGTCAAGGCTAGCTGCTATTCTGACAGAAGACAATATTGCATGGTATAAGGCTGTCTTGCCCTAGAACAGAACGCTGTTTGTCAAATGGTACACTCACATTTTTCTTTTAACTATTTTCTCAGGTGTTTTATAGTTTACAAGCAGTGGCAAATGACAGCAATATGAAATAAAGCTGTATTTTGACAATGTATGGATTACTGTTAGCCCTCTGTTGGGTTTAACTTTCACAGTATCTGTGACATAATGAACTTTTTTTTTCCTCCAGTTTTAAATTAATTCTTTTACCAAAAACAGGGTAGAAGCATCCTTGACTTTCAAATGAAAAAAAAATAAATATCCAAACTTGCCCCAATTTTTCTTTTTCTCCATTTGAATATAACTATACTTGCTTAAACAGCACAGGCTGTATATGCATTATAATCAGTAGGAAAAAAATATTAAATATAAAGTTATCACCTACTCTCAACTAGCTGAGAACACTGAGATGTTAGAGGAATATGTTTCCTGTTGAAGACTTCCATTCTTCCCTGACTCCCAAATTTCATTTGACAAAGCAAGCACACAATCCTTTGCTTCCTGACCCCTCTCTAGTGTAAAAAAGCGGAGTGGTTAGGGTGAGAGTGTATATAAGTGGCTTGATTTATCGATGTGGAATGTACCTATTACTTTTCAACAATCATTTAAGCAACGAAAAAATTAAAAGTAGTTAAAAACCTTCAAAACACAAGTATCTCTTCATATTAAATCATTACATCCTTTTTAAGATAAGCATGTGTTCTGATAATAAAGCTTTAAAAATACTGGCAAGATTGTCAAGGTGAAATATTTAACCTACTTACTTTCTGAATCCTTAGTGAAGTGTACTTGCACATAGTCACATTTTTCTAGATTAACTGCTGTTTTTAAGTCTACTGGGCAAGTTCATAGCTCCTGTGAGTGCATACTGGCTCATCTGTAAGAGGCATGTCAAAGTTCACCCCGTGCTGCATCTTTGCATTATTGCCCAAACACAAGAAATCCTGCAAAATAATTTATGATCAAATTTTATTCACTGCTTAAGCTTACAATGTCAATAGCGACCAAAATAAGGAGAAATTATTTCAAGTCAAACCTCATCACACAGAACAATTAACTATTAACATAAACACAAGATCAGCTTCTAAGGCAATCTGCACGACTCCATCACCCCTAAGTTTCACAGTCTTGACAGAGTAATGATATTTGACAGTATGCTCAAGCATATCTACTTCTTATATGTTGCCATGCTCTTTTTGGTCTACAGCTGTTAATCTCTAGAGCAGAAATGACCAGCTGCCTACAAGATGTCAGAACAGCCCCAAAAGCTAGAGATACAATTTTGGCACGTGCCACATTGGTGAGGACTTATTCTCACATTAAAAAGTGCAGAGAAATACAATTTCATGTAGCAGGCTGCTCTGCTATTTGCTCTCATATCAACAGAAACTGATATTTTCACTCACTATCAACTCCAGTGCATCAAGAGAGCTTTTCACAGAAGGCAACCTATAGTAGCAACGCATTTAGTACCCAAAGACGGTCTGACACAGTGAGTGCTGGAGGAAGCGAGCTCCCAGCTCAGACTCGATTCAAAGCCCTGCCCACATTGCTAATGCAACTGAAACTTCTGGCATTCTGTCTGCAACATGAAAATAGCTAATTGCTTTGTGTGATGAAGTGTGACGTGGAATAACTTCTCCTTATTTTGGTCGCTATTGACATTGTAAGCTTCAGTAGTGAATAAAATTTAATCAAATTATTTTGCAGGATTTCTTGCGTTGGGGTAATAATACAAAGATGTAGCGTGGGGTCAAGTTTAATTGGTCTGTTGAACTTTGACACGCGTCCTACAGACAAGCCATGAATATGACTGCCTCAAGTTATGCCTCTGAACATAAGTATCCCCTTCCCACAGCATGGTACTGTCGTGAAACCAAAGAAAAGGGGTAGACTGGAAGCTGACGAAAGAAATGCTCAGAGAAGCCGCTGACCACTGCTTGCAGGCAGCAGGTAATTCAAGCACAGCGGCTCAGAAAAATGAACAAAGTAATAGCTAAAGCCACCTGCAGC